ATGTAAGGCCCCAAAGGGCTGGTGCCTCTGGGAGAGCATCTGGCTGCTTGGCTCAGGAAATCTATATCTCTGGGCCTCTGCAGCTCTATGGCAGTGGGCAAACGTATTAGTGCTGGAGGTCACGGGACTTTCTTTTTTTGATTTCCAGTTTTGGAATGGTGTTTTTTCCTTTTGAAACTGGTCTCTAATTTTCTCGAATTATTGTTTAGGTCTATCAAGTCTTTTGGGCCATGTGCTTTTTGGCTTTGGACGAGGTGCAAGGAGATGTTTCTGTTGTCCATGAAGTTGTGGGGAGACATTCTTATCCCTTGTGGCCAAAGAAAGAAAGTGAGCAATTATGAAGCCTCCTTGTGACGCAAGAAAACAGAAGTGGCAAGTTTGTGTTGCTGCATTGAGTGATGAAGTCTGCAGCTTTGGCAAGTGCCTTGGAGCCTGGAGTGGGTGTGTAGCTGCAATTCCTTGACTGCTGTGTTGTGTTGCTCAGAACAGGAAGGCCATCTAGAAATGGTGGATCCTGAATTTGAAGTCTACTTGGCAAATTTGTGGCTGGGGAGAAGTGTGGATTAAATGGACGCAGGGGTGCAGTAGAAGATGAGCTGAAGAAGAGCCGGCCTGGGACCTGGTGTCCAAGAAGGCCAAGGGCATGGTGGGATGTATCAGTAGCAGTGGGGCAGCAGGAGCAGGGCAGTGAGCGTGGTCCTGTGCTGGGCAGCGCGGCGGCCACAGCTGGAGTGCTGTGTGAACTTGTGGGCCCTGGGAAGCAGAAAGTCACTGAGGGGCTTCAGCGTGTGCAGAGGAGGACATTGGAGCTGGGCAAGGAGGGGCAGCACAAGGCCAGTGAGGAGGTGCTGAGGTAGCTTTAGCCTGGACAATGGGGGCTATTGAGATACCTTCAGATAGTCTTCCATCAATCCCCACATGACAGTGCTCACCACAAAGGCCATTTCCCTACTGAACATGCCCCCACTGCATCCAAGTATTTTAGGTAGTGGAGTGGGGGAACTCTTCCATCTTTTGGCTGGGTGCCCTGCTGGCTTGCTATCATGCTAGCTTATTGGTTTGCTAGGAGTGGTTTGCCCTGATCACTTCATCCTTATTCAGTAAGAAAGGGTGCTTCTGCACAACATTTCCTGCCCTTTTTAAGTCCAGGATGGGATTCTGATCGAGTTTTAGTTTTCCACATCTGCAGCAGCAGTAGCAAAGGCGTTGCTGTCGCTTTCCTTGTTTTCCATTTCAGTGCTTTCAAGTACTAAAAGCTGCATTTTACAGAGACAACCTTGCTTGCTGGTACTAGCCAGGGAGTAATATCAAACTTTTATCCATCTACACTTTTGATGAATTCGTCCATTGTAATTTTGTGAGTGGATTTGAATTCTTATGTCGCAACAAAATATTCTGGTTTTTCCTTAGAAGATGTAGGGGAAGATCTGAAAAGAAATGAGGTTCTGAATGATCCCTGACAGCCTGTCCCTTATGCTTCTCTCTTACCACAGGTGACAGAACCAACAGCCATCTCTCCCCTGGCTCCCTCTGCTCCTGGAGAAGAAGCCCAAGAGGAGGAAATTGAGGTGGAGGAGCGCCAAAGTCCATCATTGGCCACACCAGAGCCTGGATACTCCAAGCCCGTAAGTGCCAGCTGTGGGTTTGCAAAGTGGGAGGCAAAAAGCCGTTTCCCTGCTAAACAAGCTCTCACAGAATCCTAGACCTTCAGACACTGGAGCGGGTGAGGCTTCCATCTCGTAGCTTGCTTGCTTGCTGGCTTGCTAGTAGAGATTTGCCCTGTTCATTTTCTCCTTTTCCCGCAAGCAAGGATGCTTCTGCATAACACTTCCTGCCCTTTTTAAGCCCAGGATGGGATTCTAATCCAGTTTTAGTTTTCCACGTCTGCAGCAGCAGTAGCAAAGGTGTTGCTGTTTCTTTCCTGCTTTTCCATTTCAGTGCTTTCAAGAAGTTAAAGCTTTGTTTTACAGAGACAGCGTTGCTTGCTGAGAGCAGCCAGGGAGCAATAACAACCTATATCCATGCACAGTTTTTTTTAGGTGGCCCATTTTACTTTAGTCTGTGGGGCTTAGAATTTTGATGTTGCTATGAAATGTTCTGATTTCTCCTTAGAAGATGTAGTGGAAGAACTGAAAAGAAATGAGGTTCTGAATGATAGGTGACAGCCTGTGCCTCATGCTTCTCTCTTGTTACAGCTGACAGGACCAACCGCTGTCTCTCCCCTGGCTCCCACTGCTCCTGAAGAAGAAGCTCAAGAGGAGCAAATTGAGATGGATGAGCGCCAGACTCCATCGTTGGTCTCACCGGAGCCTGGATATTCCGAGNATGCTGAGTGCTGGAGTCCTGCCAGGAGCTAGGGATTTCCTGCAGGCAGCTTGAGCAGAACTTGGCCTTTGACCTGTGATGTTGAGGCCCCAAAGTGCTGATGCCACTTGGAGGGCATCTGGCTGCTTGGCTCAAGGAAGCTCTGTCTCTGGGCCTCTGCAGCACTGTGGCTGAAGGCACACATGGTAGTTCTGGAGGTCATGGGACTTTCTTTGTTTGATTTCCAGTTTTGTATTGGTGTCTTTTCCTTTTGAAATTGGTCTGCAGTTTTCTGGTACTATTGTTTAGGTCTACCAAGTGTTTTGGTCCAGGTGACTTTTGGCTTTTGACAAGGCGCAAGGAGATGGTTCTGTTGTCTATGAAGTTGTGGGGAGACATTCTTGTCCCTTGTGGCCAAAGAAAGAAAGTGAGCAATTATGAAGCCTCCTTGTGACGCAAGAAAACAGAAGTGGCAAGTTTGTGTTGTTGCATTGAGTGATGAAGTCTGCACCTTTCGCAATTTCCATGGAGCCTGGAGTGGGTGTGTAGCTGCAATTTCTTGACTGCTGTGTTGTGTTGCTCAGAACAAGAAGGCCATCTAGAAATGGTGGATCCTGAATTTGAAGTCTACTTGGCAAATTTGTGGTTGGGGCGACGGGTGGTTTAAATGGACGCACGGGTTGTTGCGGTAGAAGATGAGCTGAAGAAGAGCCAGCCTGGGACCAGGTTTCCATGAAGGCCAAGGGCATGGTGGCCTGTGTCAGCAGCAGTGGGGCAGCAGGAGCAGGGCAGTGAGCGTGGCCCTGTGCTGGGCAGCGCTGTGGCCACAGCTGGAGTGCTGTGTGCACTTGTGGGCCCTGGGAAGCAGAAAGTCATGGAGAGGCTGCAGTGTGTGCAGAGAAGGACAGGGGAGCTGGGCAAGGGGGTGGAGCACAAGGCCAATGAACAGGTGCTGGGGGAGCACCTCAGTATAGACATTGCAAGGCTCATGATGGACTTTCAGATGGACTTCCCTCAATCCCTGCATTACAGTGCTCACCACAAGGGCTGTTTCCCTATCAAACATGCCCTCATTCAATCCAAGTGTTTTAGACAGTGGAGTGGGTGATACTTCCATCTTTTGACTTGCTGGCTAGTTGGTTTATAAGGAGAGGTTTGCCTCGTTCATTTTCTCTTTTTCCAGCAAGCAAAGATGCTTCTGCAAAACATTTCCTGCCCTTTTGCAGTACTAGATGAGATTGTGATCCAGTTTGAATTCTCCAAGTCTGCAGCAGCGGTAGGAAAGGCCTTGCTGTTGCTTTCCTACTTTTCCATTTCAGAGCTTTTAGGAACAAAAAGTTATGGTTTACAGCGACAGCGTTGCTTGCTGATAGCAGACAGAGAGCAATATCAACTTTATATCCATCAACAGTTCTTTTTAGGTGGCACATTTCTATTTGATCTGTCGGGCTTAGAATCCCGATGTTGCTATGAAATGTTCTGATTTCGTCCTAGAAGATGTAGTTGTAGATCTGAAAAGAAATAAGGTTCTGAATGATAGGTCATGGCCTGTCCCTCATGCTTCTCTCTTGCCACAGCTGACAGAACCAACAGCCATCTCTGCCCTGGCTCCCTCTGCTCCTGGAGAAGAAGCCCAAGAAGAGGAAATTGAGGTGGAGGAGCGCCAGACTCCATCATTGGCCACACCAGAGACTGGATACTCTGAGCCCGTAAGTGCCAGGTGGGGCTTTGCAAAGTGGGAGGCAAAAAGCCATTTCCCTACTCAACATGCCCTCACAGCATTCAAGGTCTTTAGACAATGGAGCGGGTGACGCTTCCATCTTGTGCCTTCCTGGCTGGCTGGTTTGCTGGCTTGTTTGTTTTCTAACAGAGATTTGCCTTGTTTGTTTTCTCTTTTTCCAGGAAGCAAGGATGCTTCTACACGTTTCCTATCATTTTCCAGCCCTGTATGGGATTCTGATCCCGTTTTAATTTTCCATTCCTGCAGCAGCAGTAGCAAAGGCGTTGCTGTTGCTTTCCTGCTTTTCTATTTCAGGGCTTTCAAGAAGTAAAAGCTACATTTTACAGAGACAGTGTTGCTTGCTGGTAGCAGCCAGGGAAATATCAACCTTATACACACCCCCAGTTCTTTTTATGTGCCCCATTTTATTTTAGTCTCTGAGACTTAGAACACCTATGTTGCTATGAAATGTTCTGATTTCTTCTTACAAGATGTAGTGGAAGATCTGAAAAGAAATGAGGTTCTGAATGATAGGTGATGGCCTGTGCCTCATGCTCCTCTCTTGCCACAGCTGACAGAACCAACCGCTGTCTCTCCCCTGACTCCCGCTGCTCCTGGAGATGATGCCCAAGAGGAGCAAATTGAAATGGATGACCGTCAGACTCCATCATTGGCCACAACAGAGCCTGGATATCCTGAGCCCGTAAGTGCCAGTTGTGTGTGATGCTGTCTTTAGTGCAAGGCAGAGGTGCAAGTTTCAGAGCAGCCAACGCTTCCTGTTTCTGGCTGAGGATGCTGATTGCTGGAGTGGTGCCAGGAGCTAGGGATTTGCTGCAGGCAGTGACAGCAGAACTTGGCCTTTGACCTGTGATGTTGAGGCCTTAAAGGGCTGATGCCTCTGGGAGAGCATCTGGCTGCTTGGCTCAGGGAAGCTCGGTCTCTGGGCTTCTGCAGTGCTATGGCTGAGGGTGCATGTAGTAGTGCTGGAGGTCACGGGACTTTCTCTGATTTCCCATTTGGAATGGGGTCTGTTTCTTGTGAAACCAGTCTGCAGTTTTCTTGAATTATTTTTGAGGTCTAGGAAGTCTTTTCGGCCAGGTGACTTTTTGCTTTTGACAGGCTGCCAGTAGATGGTTATATTGTCCATGAAGTTGTTGGGGGCCATTCTTATCCCTTGTGGCCAAAGACAGAAGGTGAGCAGTTATGAAAGGCCCTTGTGACACAAGAAAACAGACGCAGCAATTTTGTGTTGCTGAATTGAGTAATGAAGTCTGCAGCTTTGGCAATTTCCATGAAGCCTGGAGTGGGCGTGTAGCTGCAATTCCTTGACTGCTGTGTTGTGTTGCTCAGAACAAGAAGGCCATCTACAAGTGGTGGATATTGTATTGAAAGTCAAATTGGCAAATTTGTGGCTGGGGAGCTGCTTGGTCTAAAGGCCCCAGGGCTGCATTAGAAAGCAGCTGAACAAGAGCTAGGCTGGGACCAGGTTTCCAAGAAGGCCAAGGGCCTGGTGGGCTGTGCCAGCAGCAGTGGGGCAGCAGGAACAGGGCAGTGAGCGTGGCCCTGTGCTGGGCAGCACTGCGGCCACAGCTGGAGTGCTGTGTGCACTTGTGGGCCCTCGGAAGCAGAAAATCATGGAGGGGCTGCAGTGTGTGCAGAGAATGAAAGGGTAGCTGGGCAAGGGGTTGCAGCACAATGCCAGTGAGGAGGTGCTGAGGGAGCTTTAGCCTGGACAATAGGAAGCTTATGAGGAAACTTCGGGCAGCCTTCCATCAATGCCTACATGACAGTGCTCACCACAAGGGCCGTTTTCCTACTAATCATGCCCCCACTGAATTCAAGTGCTTTAGACAGGGGAATGGGTGACACTTCCATCTTGTGGCTGGATGCCTTGCTGGGTTGCTCTCTTGCTTGCTCGCTCCAAGAGTTTTATGTGTTCATTTCCTCCTTCTCCAGCAAGCAAGGATGCTTCTGCACAATGTTTCCTGCACTTTTGCCGCACTGGATGCGATTGTTATCCAGTTTCATTTTCAACGTCTGCAGCAGCAGTAGCAAAGGCATTGCTGTCGCTTTCCTGCTTTTCCATTTCAGAGATTTCAGGAAGTAAAAGCCTTGTTTTACAGAGGCAAGGTTGCCTGCTGATAGCAACCAGGAAGAAATAGCAACCTTATATCCATGTAGAGTTCTGTTGAATTGGCCAATTATAATTAGGTTGGTGCGAGTTAGAGTCCCTATGTTGCTAAGAAATGTTCTGATTTCTCCTTAGAAGTTGTGGTGGTAGATCTGAAAAGAAATGAGGTTCTGAATTATAGGTGACAGCCTGTCCCTCATGCTTCTCCCTTGCCACAGATGACAGAACCAACTGCTGTCTCTCCCCTGCTTCCTGCTGCTCCTGAAGAAGAAGCCGAAGAGGAGCAAATTGAGATGGATGAGCTTCAGACTCCTTCAGTGGTCACACCAGAGACTGGATATCGTGATTCTGTAAGTGCCATCTGTGGGTGGTGCTGTCTTTACTGCAAGGCAGAGGTGCAAGTTTTGTAGCAGCCAGCACTTCCTGTTGCTGGCTGAGGATGCTGAGTGCTGGAGTCCTGCCAGGAGCTAGGGATTTTCTGCAGGCANCAGGCTGTATAGAGGAAGGTTACCAGATTGAATACAAGAAAGATGGTTTCTTTAACATTGAGGGGAAACTGAACATCCTTCACTAGTGATGCAACTGATTCATAGGAGAAGGAGGAAAGCGGAGCCTGAAAAACCTCATTCCCTCCTGCTCCTCCTGCAACAAACTGGATGCATAACCATAGCCATGAACCATTCATACCTGGTATGCAGGCAGGTTTATAAACATGCTAAGCAGACCTTAGCATGTTTATAAACTTCTTGCACATTATTGCCACCAAACCCAGCAGGATAGCTATTCTGGTCACAGCCCCTCTGACGTGAAAACTACGTATTAGGGGCAATACTAGAGCTATTTCTGGATAAGAAAATAAACCTAGGGACCAGAGAGGTATTAAAATCTCAAAAAACCCTAGGGACCAGAAATGCATGCAAACCTTCACCCCAATAGACATTATGAATCCAAAAAGCATGGCTATTAGCTGATTTAAACAAACACAAAGTAATAGCAGCCAAAATGCAGTCAAAACAGGGTTTTTCCACTCTCTCTCTCACCTCACGTTTGGGCGCCAAAGATTTGTCCCAGTTTAGGGCAAATTTGTTAAAGAATCTGCAAAGGAGGGCCCCTCCAGAAAGCAAAACCCACACGGCCCGTCCCCACAACCGGTTCAGGAAAAAAATTCCTCAGAGAGTGGTGGAAAGAACCTGTTTATTTGACTGGCCCAGCACCCCCCAGCACACAAAATGAACAATACGCAATCACACCGCTTTGAGAAAGATGACAAAATCAGAAAGTCTCTTCCGGGGGGTGGTTGCTCTGTTCTCAGTCCCTCCAGCGTTGGGCCAGCTGCTGCAGCTGAACCTTCGGTGTTCCCGGGTCCCAGTCCGGAGTAGGTTCGAGATGGTCACAGAAACAGGAGAGGAGAAACAGTCCGGGAAGGAATGTTTAGCTAAACTAGCTAATCAGCAGAGGCAAAAGCCGAGCAGAAGCAAGAGCAGAAAAAGAGAGCAAGCAAAAGCAGCAAGCTGAAGCCGAAAGTGAAAAAACAGCCTTATGTACCGCCTGTCTCGGTGTCCCTGATAAGAGAAACCCAAACAAAACTTGAACTCTTCAGAGCCGGTCTAAAAGGCACAGAACAGATGGATGGGGATACGAGCATCATAACGTCACCCCAGGACAATGTTTCCTCACTCAGAGTGGTTTCCATGTTCATTTCCTAATTCTCCAGCAAGCAAGGATGCTTCTGCACAATGTTTCCTGCACTTTTGCCGCACTGGATGCGATTCTTATCCAGTTTAATTTTCCATGTCTGCAGCAGCAGTAGCAAAGGCGTTTCTGTCACTTTCCTGCTTTTCCATTTCAGACCTTTCAAGAAATTAATGCTGTGTTTTACAGAGGCAGTGTTGCTTGCTGATAACAACCAGGGAGAAATATATACCTTATATTCATGTAGAGTTCTGTTGAATTGGCCCATTATAAGTATGATGGTGGGAGTTAGAGTCCCTATGTCGCTAAGAAATGTTCTGATTTCACATTAAAAGATGTAGTGGAAGAACTGAAAAGAAATGAGGTTCTGAATGATAGGTGATGGCCTGTGCCTCATGCTTCTCTCTTGCCACAGCTGACAGAACCAACAGCTGTCTCTCCCCTGCTTCCTGCTGCTCCTGAAGAAGAAGCCGAAGAGGAGCAAATTGAGATGGATGAGCACCAGACTCCATCGTTGGTCTCACCGGAGCCTGGATATTCCGAGCTTGTAAGTNCTGCGGAGCAGCTAGGGAACAAAGGTCCCAGGGGTGCGGTACAAGATCAGCTGAAGAAGAGCCAGCCTGGGACCAGGTGTCCAAGAAGGCCAAAGGCATGGTGGGCTGTGTCAGCAGCAGTGGGGCAGCAGGAGCAGGGCAGTGAGCGTGGCCCTATGCTGGGCAGCGCTGTGGCCACAGCTGGAGTGCTATGTGCACTTGTGGGCCATGGGAAGCAGAAAGTCACTGATGGGGCTGCAGTGTGTGCAGAGGAGGACAGGAAAGCTGGGCAAAGGGTGTGGAACACAAGGCCAGTGAGGAGGTGCTTACAGAGCTCTAGTATGGACAATGGGAGGCATAGGAGGGTCATTCAGGCAGCTTTCCATCAATCCCCACATGACAGTGCTCACCACAAAGGCCGTTTCCCTTCTAAACATGCCCCCACTGAATCCAAGTGCTTTCGACACTAAAGTGGGGGATTCTCTTTTGGCTGTCTTGCTTGCTTGCTAACATGCTAGCTTGCTGGCTTGCTAGGAGTGGCTTGCCCTGATCATTTTCTTCTTATCTAGTAAGGAAAGGTGCTTCTGCACAACATTTCTTGCCCTTTTTAAGCCCAGGATGGGATTCTGATCCAGTTTTAGTTTTCCACATCTGCAGCAGCAGTAGCAAAGGCATTGATGTCTCTTTCTTGGTCTTCCATTTCAGTGCTTTCAAGTACTAAAAGCTCTGTTTTACAGAGACAACCTTCCTTGCTGATAGCAGCCAGGGAGCAATATCAAACTTTTATACATCTACATTAATGTTGAATTCGCCCATTGTAATTTTTTGAGTGGATTTGAATCCCTGTGTCGCAACAAAATGTTCTGATTTTTCCTTAGAATATGTAGGGGAAGATCTGAAAAGAAATGAGGTTCTGAATGATCCGTGACAGCCTGTCCCTCATGCTCCTCTCTTGCCACAGCTGACAGAACCAACAGCCGTCTCTCCCCTGGCTCCCTCTGCTCCTGGAGAAGAAGCCCAAGAGGAGGAAATTGAGGTGGATGAGCGCCAGACTCCATCATTGGCCACACCAGAGCCTGGATACTCCGAGCCCGTAAGTGCCAGTTGGGGGTTTGCAAAGTGGGAAGCAAAAAGCCGTTTCCCTACTAAATATGCCCTCACAGCATCCTAGATCTTCAGACACTGGAGTGGGTGACACTTCCATTTCGTAGCTTGCTTGCTTGCTGGCTTGCTAGGAGAGATATGCCCTGTTCATTTTCTCCTTTTCCTGCAAGAAAAGATGCTTCTGCATAACACTTCCTGCCCTTTTTAAGCGCAGGATGGGATTCTAATCCAGTTTTAGTTTTCCACGTCTGCAGCAGCAGTGGCAAAGGTGTTGCTATCACTTTCCTGCTTTTCCATTTCAGCGCTTTTAAGAAGTTAATGCTTTGTTTTACAGAGGCAGCGTTGCTTGCTGATAGCAACCAGGGAGAAATATATACCTTACATTCATTTAGAGTTCTGTTGAACTGGCCCGTTATAATTATGTTGTTTGGAGTTAGAGTCCCTATGTCACTAAGAAATGTTCTGATTTCTCATTAAAAGATGTAGTGGAAGAACTGAAAAGAAATGAGGTTCTGAATGATAGGTGATGGCCTGTGCCTCATGCTCCTCTCTTGCCACAGCTGACAGAACCAACAGCCATCTCTCCCCTGCTTCCTGCTGCTCCTGAAGAAGAAGCTGAAGAGGAGCAAATTGAGATGGATGAGCGCCAGACTCCATCAGTGGTCACACCAGAGACTGGATATCGTGATTCTGTAAGTGCCATCTGTGGGTGGTGCTGTCTTAGGTGCAAGGCAGAGGTGCAAGTTTTAGAGCAGCCAGTGCTTCCTGTTTCTGGCTGAGGATGCTGAGTGCTGGAGTCCTGCCAGGAGCNAAAGGCATCTAGAAATGCTGAATGCTGTATTTGAAGTGAAATGGGAAACTCTGTGGCTGCGGAGCAGCTAGGGAACAAAGGTCCCAGGGGTGCGGTACAAGATCAGCTGAAGAAGAGCCAGCCTGGGACCAGGTGTCCAAGAAGGCCAAGGGCATGGTGGCCTGTGTCAGCAGCAGTGGGGCAGCAGGAGCAGAGCAGTGAGCGTGGCCCTGTGCTGGGCAACGCTGTGGCCACAGCTGGAGTGCTGTGTGCACTTGTGGGCCCTGGGAAGCAGAAAGTCATGGAGGGGCTGCACTGTGTGCAGAGGAGGACAGGGGAGCTGGGCAAAGGGTGTGGAGCACAAGGCCAGTGAGGAGGTGCTGAGAGAGCTCTAGTATGGACAATGGGAGGCTCCTGAGGGACCTTTGGGCAGACTTCCATCAATGCCTATGCGACAGTTCTCACCACAAGGGCCTTTTTCCTACTAAATATGCCATCACTGCATCCAATAATTTAGACAGGGGAGTGGGTGACACTTCCATCTGGTGCCTTGTTGGCTTTTTGGCTTGTTGGTTTGCTGGCAGAGATTTGCCCTGTTCATGTCTCCTTTTCCAGCAAGAAAAGATGCTTCTGCACAACTTTTCCTGCCCTTTCGCAGCGCTGGATGAGAATGTGATCCAGTATGAGTTTTCCACGTCATCAGCAGCAGAAGCAAAGCCGTTGCTGTCACTTTCCTACTTTTCCTTTTTAGAGCTGTCAAGAATTGAAAGTTGTGTTTTACAGAGACGGTGTTGCTTGCTGATAGCAGCCAGGGAGGAATACCAAACTTATATCCATTTAGAGTTCTGATGGATAGGTCCATTTTAATTTGTTGGGTGGGATTAGAATCCCTATGTGGCTACAAAATATTCTAATTTCTCCACAGAAGATGTGGTGGTAGATCTGAAAAGATATTATGTTCTTAAGGATAGATGGTGGCATGCGCCTCATGCTCCTCTCTTGCCACAGCTGACAGAACCAACAACCGTCTCTCCCCTGGCTCCCACTGCTCCTGAAGAAGAAGACCAGGAGGAGCAAATTGAGGTGGAGGAGCGCCAGACTCCATCAGTGCTTACACCAGAGCCTGCATATCCTGAGCCCGTAAGTGCCATCTGTGGGTGGTGCTGCCCTTAGGAAAGGCAGAGGTGCAAGTTTCAGACCAGCCAGCGCTTCCTGTTGCTGGCTGAGGATGCTGAGTGCTGGAGTCCTGCCAGGAGCTAGGAATTTCCTGCAGGCAGCATCAGCAGAACTTGGCCTTTGACCTGTGATTTTGAGGCCCCAAAGGGCTGGTGCCTCAGGGAGAGCATCTGGCTCCTTGGCTCAGGGAAGCTCTGTCTCTTGGCTTCTGCAGTGCTATGGCCAAGGGAGCACGTGGTAGTGCCGGAGGTCACGGGGCTTTCTTTGTTTGACTTCCATTTTTGGAATGGTGTATTTGGTTTGTGAAACTGGTCTGCAGCTTTTTTGCATAATACTTAGTTCTTCAAAGGCGTTTGGGCCAGGAGTCTTTAGGCTTTTCACAAGCTGCAAGGAGATGGTTTTGCAGTCCATGAAGCTATAAGGGTTCATAACTGCCCCGTCTGGCCAAAGAAAGAAAGTGATTAGTTATGATGCCTCTGAGTGAGGCAAAAAGCAGAAAAAGGGCAAGACTGTGTTGCTACATTGAGTGATGAAATCTGCCCCTTTGACATGTGCCTTGCAGTCTGGACTGGGGGAGAAGCTGCAAGTTCTTGGCTACTGTCTTGTGTTGCTCAGAAAATAAAGGCATCTAGAAATGCTGAATGCTGTATTTGAAGTGAAATGGGNGTGCAAGGCAGAGGTGCAAGTTTCAGAGCAGGCACACTTTCTGTTGTTGGGTGAGGGTGCTGAGTGCTGGAGTACTGCCAGGAGCTAGGGATTTCGTGCAGGCAGCTTCAGCAGAACTTGGCCTTTGACCTGTGAAGTTGAGGCCCCAAAGGGCTGGTGCCTCTGGGAGAGCATCTGGCTGCTTGGCTCAGGGAAGCTCTGTCTCTGGGCCTCTGCATTGCTGTGACCGAGGGTGTACGTGGTAGTGCTGGACGTCATGGGGCTTTTTTTGTTTGATTGCCCGTTTTAGAATGGCGTCTTTTTCTTGTGAAACTGGTCTGCAGTTTTCTTGAGTTATTCTTCAGGTTTACCCAGTCTTTTGGGCCAGGTGCCTTTTGGCTTTTGAGATGGTTATGTTGTCCATGAAGTTGTGGGGCCCATTCTTATTCTGTGTCACCAAAGAAAAAAGTGAGCAGTAATGAATCCTCCTGGTGAGGCAAAAAACATCATTGGGCAAATTTGTGTTGATGCATAAAGTGATGAGGTCTGCAGTTTTGGCAATGCCTTTCAGTCTGGAGTGGGGGTGAAGCTGCAAGTACTTGACTGCTCTCTTGCGTTGCTCAGAACAAGAAGGCCATCTAGAAATGGTGGATGCTGTATTTGACGTCAAATGTGCAACTCTGTGGCATGTAGGAGAGCTGTGTGGGTCAAAAGGCCCCAGCGGTGCGGTAGAAGATGAGCTGAAGAAGAGCCAGCCTGGGACCAGGTGTCCAAGAAGGCCAAAGGCATGGTGGCCTGTGTCAGCAGCAGTGGGGCAGCAGGAGCAGGGCAGTGAGCGTGGCCCTGTGCTGGGCAGTGCAGTAGCCACAGCTGGAGTGCTGTGTGCACTTGTGGGCCCTGGGAAGCAGAAAGTCATGGAGGGGCTTCAGCGTGTGCAGAGAAGGACAGGGGAGCTGGGCAAGGAGCACAGGCCCACTTAGGAGGTGCTGAGGGAGCTTTAGTATGGACAGTGGGAGGCTCATGAGGGACCTTCAGGCAGCTTTCCATCAATCCCCGCATGACAGTGCTCACCACAATGGCCGTTTTCCTACTAAAATTGCCATCACTATATCCAACTGCTGTAGACACTGGAGTAGGTGACACTTCGATCTTGTGGTTTGCTGGCTTGCTGGTTTGCTAGGAGTGATTTGCCATGTTCATTTTCCCCTTTTCCCGCCATCATAGATGCCACTGCACAATGCTTCTTGCACTTTTGCAGCACTGTATGAGATTGTGATCCAGTTTTAGTTTTCCACATCTGCAGCAGCAGTAGCAAAGGTGTTCCTGCTACTTTCGTACTTTTTCATTTCAGAGCTTTCTAGGACTAAAAGCTTCATTTTACAGTGACATTGCTTGCTGATAGCTGCCAGGGAGGATTATCAACCTTATGTCCATCAAGAGTTGTGTTGGAAAGGCCTGTAAATATTTGTTTGGTTCGGACTTAGAACCCCTATGTTGCTGCAAAATAATCTGATTTCTCCTTAGAAGATATGGTGGTAGATCTGAAAAGAAATTACGTTCTTAAGGATTGGTGACGGCCTGTCCCTCATGCTTCTCTCTTGCCACAGCTGACACAACCAACGGCTGTCTCTCCCCTGGCTCCCGCTGCTCCTGGAGAAGAAGCCCAGGAGGAGCAAATTGAGATGGATGAACGCCAGACTCCATCATTGGTCACACCAGAGTCTGGATATCCAGAGCCCGTAAGTGCCAGTTGTGGGTTTTGCTGTCTTTAGTGCAAGGCAGAGGTGCAAGTTTCAGAGCCACCAGGGCTTCCTGTTTCTGGCTGAGGGTGCTGAGTGCTAGAGTCCTGCCAGGAGCTGGGGATTTCCTTCAGGCAGTGACAGCAGAATTTGGACTTCTACCTGTGATGTTGAGGCCCTAAAGGGCTCTTGTTTTGGCTTGAGCATCTGGCTGTATGGCTCACTGAAGCTCTGTCTTTGGGCTTCCACAGCACGGTGCCAAGTGCTCACGTTTTAGTGCTTGATGTCACGGGGCTTTGTTTGTGTGTTTTGCAAGGTGTGTTTGCCCTGAGACAGGAGGATTGCAATGGAGGTAGAGGTGGGTAGGGAGGCAGAAAGAAGAAGCTGAATAAATGTGATTTTGGGTCTGCAAAAGGAAAAAGCTGAGGCTGATGGCAGCTCCCAGTCACTTGCTCTGCATTTGTGTGTACAGAAGATCAAGGCAGAGCCACAAGCAGAGCTGCCTGAAGCACAGAGTGACATCATGGACGTGAAGAGAAAGAGCAAGGAAGATGTGGGAAGAATTCAAGAGGAGAATCTCGATCAGCAGAGGGGCGATCAACAAAACCAGGTGAGTGAAAGAGTGGCAGGCACTCAACCCATGAAACATCCTCTCTCTTGTTTTTTAGAAAAGATGAAGGCAGAGCTGAACGCAGAGCTTCAGACAGCTCAAACTCAGATGAAGGAAAGGCAGAAGAAGCTGGAGGATGAAATAAAAATCATCAAAGAGAAATTTAGTCCCTTCCCTCAGTCTCTACAAAAGCAAGTGAGTGAAAGAGGGATGCAGTCACTGCAGTCACCAAACTGGTGGTTTCTGCCCTTCTTGCCTTTCCAGTGCAGAGCAGCAGGGAGTGGGGCCATGCCTCAGAGTGCCATCCTGCTGTAGTGTGTATCACAGTCACTCTGAAAGACATTTCCTGGTGTGCTCATTCTCTTCTGCTGCCCTGGATAATGTAACTTGTCCTTTGGCCTTTTGGCCAGCAGTCATCCAAATTGATTCCTGATGGCTTGTTCCTGCTCTCCTTGTTTCTTGAGGTGTTTTTACAGGGGAACATGGTGACCCAGATGGGGGATTGAAACAAGCTGTCTGTATCCCTTGTCAATCTTTTCTTTCCCTTTCCTCACAGTTGATGACTCCTGGCTGACAGGGACAAGCTGTAGTCTCTGACTGCTTTATTCTGTTTCATTTGAGGAGCGAGTGTTGGCGTCTCACCGGGCAGCCTGTGAAGATTACCAGCGAATCTCTGGCACTGAAGGGCCCCAGGTTAGGAGTGAGGCACAGGTACCATCCCCACCAGAAGTGCTACAGGTTGAATATGACCTGAAGATGGTGCAGGAAAAGAAAACACAGTGGGAGGAGGAAGAACACTAGAACAAGGAGCTGCAAGTGTGTCTGCAGCTCTTGGAGGGGGGAAGGAATCCTTGAGAGGAAGTAGAATGGTGATTGTGGCAGTCATCCTTTGGAAAATCCATAAAAATGGAACATGAATCTGGCCATGAACTCGAGTAAAACTAGCCTTTGGTTTTGATCCATCCAGTTTGAGAAGTGGACATCAGAAAAAAGCCATTTAAGAGCCCTGCATGTTGCTGACAGCACATTTCTAAGGGCTTGCATTTCAAAAAGGGATCTCAGGGTAATTTCTGCCAGCCACCTTTCTGACATCAACTCATTTCTTGTCCCAGATCTACATGGGCTCTTTCACCAAACCTGCTGCAGCAGCAGCAGCATCATCTAAAGGAGCCTTTTCTCCCCGACTTGAGAAGTGGAGCCAGGGCAGTTTGTTCACCTCCCGCGCTGACCCAGCTGCTGCTCAGCAGCAGGAGGTCGAGGGTGACTCTCTGGAGCTACTGAGTACGTCTGCTGTGTTTCTTGTCTGAGGGACAGTGCATTGTGTGCAGGTGCCAGCATAGCCATACCAAATGTTTCTCCTGAGTTTGGTGTCATGGACACATTTATGAGTTCCCACAGGAACTGCTGTAGAAAATCAGTCTCTGTTCTGGCCACCTGTGCTGCAGAGCTGTCTGCCTGGTTGTTGTTGTTGTTACCCAGCCGACCACAAAGGGCTCAGAGCTCCAAGCACTGGGGCTGCCTTTTGTATCTCCTGGAACCTGAGGTCTCTGCTTTAATGTCAGCATCTTCATTTTGTTTCCCTCAGGGAAAATAGTAAACAAGGAAAATCCCTGGATGAAATACACCAAACTGGAAGATATTGGAAGCGGGTGAGTCCAAACGCAGTTACTTCTACATAACCATGGGCCAGGTGTTTTTCTGGTGGAATGTCTATCCACCATGAAGTCAGGCAAACAGACATCTATCCCCATGTTCCCACACTGAGGGTAGATTGTCCCATCTCTCAGTGCTACTCAGAATTTGTATGTGTGCTCAGAAGGCACTGTCAGAGACACCTCCATGCTGCCGAGGTCTTGTCTGCAGCAATGAACAGGACCTGGAAAATCTCAACTCTCATGTGTGAGACACTTCTGTGTTAATTTCCTTAGCATTTTTTTATATCTCCAATTCATACTGCTATCCTAATAAAGAGGGAAGAAAGTTGCTTGCCTGAAGGAGAAACCTCCTCCCTGATAGCTGTCAGATAACAGTTCTCAGGAACATTTTTTTCTGAGAGTTTGCTGAAGGAAATACTCTGTGGTCAGGATAAAAACTGAACAGTTTGGAAAGTGAAAGCTGAGGTGGAAGAAGCAGCTCTATTTTTGAGCTGAGGCAGTAAACCCAAGCAGTTCAGGAACAGGCCCAGTGCCCATGCACTTGAGAGGAAAATGCATTATCTGCCTTCTGGCAGAGCCCTCCTGCTTCCTTCAGGTTTTTGGCACTCACAGCAGAGACCTCCTGAGTGGGCTGGTTTTCCCTGCAAGATCTAAATGGCTTCTACTTTCCTTGCTGTTTTTTTTTTGTTTCTAGGACTTTTGGGGTTGTGTGCAGAGCAGTTGACAATGCCACAGGAGGAGAGGTAAATGTCAACAGGCCCCGCAGACTCTGCTGCTATTGAGGGGCTTTCCCCTCTGGTGTGAGCTGTGGCTGGAGCTTTGGCTAGAGCTGTGCTGAAAAGGCACAAGAAGCACAGACTGGTGCCAGCCTGCAAAATACATTATTTGGCACTTTGTCCTCCTCAGCTGCCGGAAGGAAGGCACGCAGGGCAGCGCTTCCTTTCAGAGAAGGACGCGCTCACTCGCTCTCCATGGCTAAAACACAGGTGGTGCCTTACAGCACCTCCCTGCTCTTTGGAGCTACAGCTTCAGAGTCCTGAATTCTCGATTCTGGCTGCCAGCAAATCCATCTGAATATTACTGGTAGTTCCTTAGCCACCTGCAGTGCTGCACTTGGGAGCTGCATGTAGGGAGAGATCTGCAAGGTGCCCCTAAAAAGCCCTAAGCCCTGCCCATAGCCCAAGATGTATCCACAGGGTATTAAGGAATGGATTACTTCTTCTGAATCCCAAACAAAGCAGCAGAGAGTGTGGTCAGAGGTTTGTGGGTGGTAGCTGAGACACCACTGTTACCAAATGGACAAGGCAAAACCTCAGTGGCTGCAGGTGTCCTGTAACTGGCTCCCAAGGGAGAAGAGAAATGGGCTGTTGGAATGTCAGTTCCTAATTACTGCAGTGCCTAATCACAAGGCAGTTTGTAACAACTCAGCTGTGTCATTGTAAAATCACTCACTCCATGTGTGTTGTGGTCTTGTGCCACCAACTTCTCAAGTTACTGATTTTCAATGTCATTTTAGGTGGCCATCAAGAAAATAAATCTAAAAGGACTGAGGAAGAAGAAATTAAAAGCCAATGAACTCATGGTCATGAAAATTAATGGGAATCCCAACCTGGTCAACTATTTAGACAGGTGAGATTTTGTGAATGTTTCTTTACAGAGAGCAAACATGCAAGTTAAAATCCCTCTTTGGTCAGTGGCAGAAAATAGACCTGTAATTATTGGCTAATTATTATTGCTCTGCTCATCTCTAATGGATGGGAAGAGAGTGCACCTTGTCTGCATGAGTCTTCTCTGGCATACATAGTTTGAAAATTACTCAAAAACCTGGATCAGTCATATCTTACTAAATCAATAGCCTGTAAGTTCACAGCCACCACTTTGTTTTGGGGCTTGATTTTTATCAAGTGTCTTTTTCTGTCCAGATAGACTAATATAAATTTCCCTTGGATTGTGTCCCCTCTTTACCATTGTTCTGCATGCCAGGAAGACTAGGTGCTTATTTCCAGAAACACAGAGTGTGACAGGTTTTTTTATCTGTTAGTAAACTGTATGTTTTACTTGCTGGCCATTTAAGACATCTTCTTTTTCCCAGCTATGCCTTTTTTCTTGAGACTGCCCAATTACAAACAATGCACAGCTGAGAGGGAATGTCTATTCCTTTGATTCTGTCCTAGTCACAAATGAACCTGGAAACAAGAATCAATCAAGAGCACACCCTAGCCATGCACGTTCATCTCCACACCCTTGTTTCCTTCTTCCAGCTTCCTTGTGGGTGATGAACTCTGGCTAGTAATGGAGTTCATGGATGGAGGCACTCTGAGCGACATCATCAGCAAGACTTGCCTGTCTGAAGACCAGACGGCAGCCATCAGTCGGGAGGTCAGCAATTCCATCTGTGTTTCTGAGGGCTTGGACAGGATTATCTGGGAAAGAGGGGCTCAGAACAGGAGAGGTTTCATGTGCCAAGTTTTGTTTCTGTGTGGCTGGTATGCTATGGGCAAGTGAAAGCACTTCAAGTGAAAGGCCTGCCAGTGCCCCTGCACTCCCTGTACCCAGTGCCAATACTCTTATCTCCTGCTGTTGTACTCTCACTCTGCCTCTTGTACTTGTATTTGCTGTTCTCCACTTTGCCTCTCTAAACATTTGCCTGGAGCCTGTTTTCACCGCATTCCTTGCCTGTGAAAGCAAAGGTGCTGGTGGCAGGATTTGAAACAAACAGCAAAGAAAAAAGAGACTCATTTCTCACAGTCCTCTGCTGAAAAGGATAGTAGTGCAGCTAAAATGCTCTTTACTTTACTTCAATGTGATACTTCCAAGTCTGTGCTGAGGCAAGCAATAAAACCTTTGCCATGCAGCCTCCCACCCAAAAGTGATCTGCTTCACACCAAAGGGAGGGACTTTTTCTTTTTTGGCAAAACCCTCCTTTGTCTTCTGCATGGAGATAGCACATCCACTGCAGCAACAGTCATCCTGGCTGGTTTGCACGGGACAGTCTACAACAGCAGGTGCTGTTGCTCTTTCAGAAGCTGACGTGCCTTTTCTCAGAAAGGTTCTGCTCTGCAAGGGCTGGAGCAGCAAGCTCTTCCTCTCAATGGCACTGTGTTCTGCCCTGGAGAGGGAATGTTTTAGATTGTTTCCTTTCTTGTGTGATGAAATCCCATCACTTGTTTTTGCCCTTGTCTTTGTTTTCTCGCTCAGTGCCTGCAAGGACTGGATTTTCTCCACTCAAATGATGTGATCTACCGCGATGTGAAGAGCTGCAACATCCTTCTCAGAACCGACGGTTCTGTCAAGCTGGGTCAGTGTATTCTTGGTTAGGTACAACATTCCAGGGATGTGGGTGTAGGGCTGCTTTGAGTGACTGCCCGACTGACAGAAATGTTGCTGGTGGCAGTGCAGGGACACCCGCTGTGAGCTGAGGGCACAGTTGCAATGTGCACAGAGGTGTGAGAAGGAATCACAAGAACTCAAGACTGGTCTTGGTCTGTGTGTGTCTTTTCCAGAGGGAGGGAGCTACAGTCTAAAGCTTCATGGGAATAAAGTCCACTGCTGTGAGCAGTGTTATAAGACCAGGGTTGTTTTGGATGGGGCCAATTCACTACTACATTGGCTAAAGCCCCAAGGAAATCAAGCGTGGACAGTTCTCTGGGAGATTCAACAGCACATTCTTAGCCTGAGAATGGGGAATTCTTTTGCTTGGTTTCCTAATTGGAATTGGCTTTCATGGTTTGTTGTTCTCCCCACAGCTGACATTGGCCTCTTTGTTAAGCTCGCCCCTGAGCAGAGCAGACAGAGCTCCGTGGCCAGCACTTCTGGGTGGCTGGCGCCTGAAGTGATGACAGGCCAAGCATATGGCCCCAAAGTGGACATATGGTCTTTGGGAATCGTGGGCATCGAAATGGTGGAACAAGAAGTTCCTTGCAGGAATGCAACTCCTGTTTCAGTAAGGAGCAAATACTCACTGATCCCACTGTCTTTCTCACCTGTCCCATGTCCTGCATGTGCCATTGGACAAAATCCCATTGCCATCTGCTGGCCCCACTTCCACCAAGGTCCCCTTCTAAAAATGTCCCTGCAGCACATCAGGACTCACTAGAGATTTGGTTACATCAGAAGGGAAATGGCAGTTCAGAAACCTAATCAGTTCAGAAAGTTGCCATTTTGGCCTCCAGCCATGCCTGACATTTCTCATTTGCTTTTTGAACCCTGTTGGAGCTTTGGTTCTGAAGGATAAGAATTTTTCAGTGGAACGATTGGATGTGTGATAAATATCCTTCAAAATGGAGGTTGAGTCTTTCCAGTTTCAGTTTTATAGGAACAGAAAAAGTGAAAAAGAAACAACCAGCAAAGCAATGCCCAAGCAGTTCTGCTTTCTTTTCCCTTTTTGAACCACATCCATACTGTAGCATGTTTTTCAAATCCTGTGGGTCTTTGAAACTTTCAGATTTTCAAGTCATCTGTACATTGTTCAGTCATGTGTGTGGGATGCCTGGATATGTTTATGATGTTTTTCTCCAACTGCAGTTAGAATTGCACACCAAACCCTTGGCTGTTTCTTGGTACTTTAGCAAGTTGATGAGCTTGCAGGCAGGTGCCTGAGCTGGGATCCAACGTGGGCAGTTGACTACGGTGTTCCTTTACCACCAGAGCAGGGCCATCCCTGGCCTGCACAGTTCTAATGACAGTGAGAACTCCAGCTCCCCACCATGGCCAGTGGCTGAGCACAGCTGCAGAGGGACAGGATAAAACCCCCTTTGCAACCTCTGGTGGTGTGGGAAAAGGAAAGAAAGTTGTCCTAATTATTTATACTCAAGCCGAATGTGTTTGTTGTTTTAGGCTTGGAAATTTTCCTTTGGGTTGAAGAGGATAATAACAAAGTCTCTTTGGTCACCATCTATTTCAGTGCCACCAGCACAGAGCTGTTAGCATTGTGATGGGCATTTGTATGGAGACCAGGCCACAGCCTGGGGTCATGGAGATGCTGCCAAACCTCCCATTTCTTACCCAACACTCTCTGCGATGGGGACACCTTTAATGCATTGACTTGAGCATCCAAATGAGCAGAGAGTGACCATAGGCATGGCACTTCTTCTCCTAATTTGACCATGAAAAGGTTTCCTTTTGCCACATAAAGAAGCCAAAATGTGCAGCTGAGAGACAGAGCTACAGGTGGCTCCTGTGCACCCAAGCAGGCATTTTCATCTCAATATATTTGCGCATGCATCTTAATGTGTCTGTGTTGAATATCAGATTCCAAATGTTTGTTTTCTTTTCCTGAGGAATAGCTGGTGGATTTCCTTTCTTTCCTTCCACTTACCACTGTTTTCTAGAAGAGGAAAAGAAGCTCAATGAGATTTGCTTTATGGCACTTGTGCTTCAGGGACCAACAAGCACTGCAGAGATGCCTTTCATGTACTATTCCTTGCAAATAGTAGAGTTAGTATAGCACAGTCCCTCTTCCAGAAAGCCTGTCAAGCTGATGTGAGTCCTCAGGGAAGGAAACATGCTTTGCTGATGTAGTTCCCACTTACTCGGTCAGTGAATGAAATCAACTGTCAAGGCAAGATCTGCAGGATTGTGGAAAAATCTGTGGCTGCATTGGGGTTTGGGTTTTTGGTTGGTAAAGGAAAGTCATCTCTGGGTCTCTGCCAGGGCAGAAACTGCCACTGCAGAGTGGAGCTTAACCAATGGGATCTGGGAGAGCACCTAGAGATGTGAAAGCAGCAGGTGGAGCCTGGTGTTTCCTTTTGATGCAGGCTAAACAACGGAGAGCCAGGGGAGAGAGACCACAGCTGCGGCAGCCCGACAGATTCTCATCTTGCCTGTGTGACTTCCTGAGCTGCTGCCTGCAGACAGATGAGCAGAAGCGCTGGTCTGCCAAGGAGCTCCTGAAGGTAAAATGTGAAGGGGCTGCAGGTGAAACAGGCTCTGAGGGATGGGCTCCTCCTCCACTCAAGTCCAAGGCATCACATGAGCCCCCTTCCTCCACACCTCCACTCTTGGTGCTCTTCAAATGAGAATGATGAGGAATCCTAGGCTGGGCTGGGCTGGCAGGGACCTGTGAAGGTCCTCTGGTCTAAGTGTCCTGCAATGAGCAGGGACATCTTTAAAGAGATCAGGTTGCTCAGAGCCCTTTCCCACCTGACCTGGAATGGGGCACCTACAAGCTCTTGGGACAGCCTGTGCCAGTATTGCACTATGCTCTGAGTAAACAAGTTCTTCCTTAGACCTACTTAGACTTGATCCCCATGTTGATTAAGAATATTCATGACATTCCATTGTTACTGGAACTGTTAAAAAAGGTGTCCCCACTTTCTTCAAAACCACTCTGAAGTCTTGGAAAGTGGCAACAAAGTCTCCCTGGGGCTTGTTCTTCACAAATCTGAATAACTCCACCTCTCTCTGCATTTCCTGAGAGGAGAGGTGCTCTGTTTCCTGACTGTTTCTGTTACCCTGTTTCGTAATTTGCTGGGGTGTTTCATTTTATCTAATGGCAAAACAATTGAAGTAGAGCAGTGCAGGGTACAGGGACATGAAATGGTGGTGCAGGAACCCAGGGAAGCCAGTCTCAACTGAGCAGTCAGATTTGGCTGTGGGCAGGAGAGGCTGTGGGGGGCTCACTGTGAGCCTCTGAGGGGCCCTGGTTTGTGCCCCCCAGCCCACCCTTAGAGGTTTCTGCCATGCAAACAGGGACAGCTGGGAGGGACTTGTCCCAGCCCCATCTGCTGCCTGGCACGCTCAAGCAGACGGAAACTGTGCCGGGGTTACTGCCAGGTTGTGTGGCAGAGAGGGAACTGCAGGACCCGGTGCCACTGGGCTGGCCCTGCTGGGAAGGAAGGTGCCATCCAGCACACAAGGGACAGGGCATGGAAAGGCAGACACTGCTCTGTCTCCCTGTGGGAATCAGCACAGTGCCT